CCAGCAGTTGCATAAAGCCTGGAATCATTTGTTTAACTTTCTGAAGACAAGAGACTGTTCTTGTTTGAATGTTCATTAATAAAGGACTTTTGTTATACTTCACAAGCCATCTAAAGACCATTTGTGGTAGAAAACCTCTGAGAACTTCTCTTCTAGGGCCCCTGGCTTCCCACTGAGCTCAAGTCACACATCCTATTTAAAGACAATTATTTACAGGCCCAGCGCACGACGGAAAATATATATAAATCCCACTTGCCTCGTTTCCAATAGGCCTCACAACCTCTGAGGATGGCTGCCATAGATGTGGGTGAAACGTCAGGAGAGAATGCTTCTGGAACATAGCCATACAACCCAGAAAAGTCACACCAACCCAATGGGTTTTTTTTCCTTTCCTTTTTTAAACATTATAGAAACCTTTTTTTTGTATTCGATGACGATGAAAGAAGCTGATAATACAAAATGTTAGGGGGAAAAGTCCCTATTGTATATCTATTCCTGTACTCCACCCTATCTCCTATATTTTATCAATATTGGAGAACAAATGCTGCAGGGAAACATATGCAGATATAGGAGGGCGGATTCTGAGGGTTGCGGTGTCAGGAAGCTTCAAACTTCAGTTGTAGAGCATGAGCTTCCTACTGTGCCTCCTGCCATACAATCCCTGCAAACCAGGCTACTTTTCTTTTGTCTCTCAGCAGTTGGTAGGATGCACAGCCATCCGTGGGGTGGGCGGTGTGTGTGTGTGTATGTGTATATATATATATATATATATATATATATATATATATATATATATAGTAGGTCTTGTATTCAAAGTACCCCTAAGTGCTTAACAATAGAACCCATTGTTATTGCAGCAGAAGGAAGGAAATTATGAGAGGCAGCTATTACGTGCCCAGCAGTATTTCTTGCATAATCTTGTTTAATAGGCTCTATCATAGCTAGAAAAAAGTGGTTTCTTTTTTAGACAAACAGCATTCTTGTTTCTAATGTATAAAAGAGTGTATATTTGGTTGGTGGGTAGGAGGTCTGGCAAGAAAACTCCAACTGAAGTGCTGAAAAAAACAACAGGACACTAGTCACTGATGGATGCCAAATACTTGTGTGCAATTTAAAAACTCTGAAATGCCATTTTATCCGAATGCAGGCTTGTGTGGCAAGATGCAAACGATGCCTGCTGAGGTTCTTGTGGGTTTTTTCGGGCTATAGGGCCATGTTCTAGAGGCATTTTCTCCTGACGTTTCGCCTGCATCTATGGCAAGCATCCTCAGAGGTAGTGAGGTCTGTTGGAACTAGGAAAAAGGGTTTATATATCTGTGGAAAGACCAGGGTGGGACAAAGAATTCTTGTCTGTTGGAGCTAGGTGTGAATGTTTCAACTGACCACCTTCATTAGCATTTGAAGGCCTGGCTAGCCTGGGGCAATCTTTTGTTGAGAGGTGATTAGATGTCCCTGTTTGTTTCCTCTCTGTTGTTTTGCTGTTGTAATTTTAGAGTTTTTTAATACTGGTAGCCAGATTTTGTTCATTTTCATGGTTTCCTCCTTTCTGTTGAAATTGTCCACATGCTTGTGGATTTCAATGGCTTCTCTGTGTAGTCTGATATGGTGGTTGTTGGTGTGGTCCAGCATTTCTGTGTTCTCAAATAATATGCTGTGTCCAGGCTGGTTCATCAGGTGCTCTGCTATGGCTGACTTCTCTGGTTGAAGTAGTCTGCAGTGCCTTTCATGTTCCTTGATTCGTGTTTGGGCTGCTGCGTTTGGTGGTCCCTATGTAGACTTGTCCACAGCTGCATGGTATACAGTAGACTCCTTCAGGGTGAGAGGATCCCTCTTGTCCTTTGCTGAACGTAGCATTTGTTGGATTTTCTTGGTGGGTTTGTAGATTGTTTGTATGTTGTGTTTCCCTCTCAACAAAAGATTTTCCCAGGCTCAGCCAGGCCTTCAAATGCTAATGAAGGTGGTCAGTTGAAACATTCACACCTAGCTCCAGCAGAGAAGAGCTCTTTGCCCCACCCCAACCATACCACAGATATATAAACCCATTTTCCTAATTCCAACAGACCTACTTACTACCTCTGAGGATGCTTGCCATAGATGCAGCGAAACGTCAGGAGAAATGCCTCTAGAACATGGCCCTATAGCCCGAAAAAACCTACAAGAACCTAGTGATTCCAGCCATGAAAGCCTTCGACAATACATTGATGCCTGTTGAACTGCCCTTCCCTACAGAAATATCCTTCTCTGCCTCAAGCATTTGAATGGTGGAGTTCTTTGGATGCTGGGTATGTAAGGCAGCGGCAGTCTTTAGGATCGGGAGGTTATCCAACTTGTGTGTGGATATGTTTTGAGATACCCATCGCCCCTCGGCATGTTATATTGTTGTTGGCCATGCTGTTGGTATTGCGTCTGAGTGAGTTCAGCTCCCATCTGTTCACTGTATATTTGTAAACAAACCATTTATTACAAAAAAGCATCATAAATCTCTAGGACACTCCGCTTGCAAATAAGCCAGCCCTCTAAAAAAGTAGCGCTGGATTGTTAAACTGTGTTGGAAATGGGGGGAGCATGGCATGGTTCAAGGCAGGCCGGAGAGGCACTCAGACAAAACGTGACTTACCCCAGCTCCTGTTGCTAATATCCCCCTGAATTCGCAGAGGGAACATAGAGACATGGGTTTCTTAGGGATTTTAAGGGATTTAGCATCAACTACCCAGGAGCATCTGCCTTCAAGCTTGAGTTGAAACTAGACTTGAACCAGAAATGCAAACCAACCTCCTGGTTACATATGTTCAGTGCCAATCACAAGCAGTGCCAAATGAACAGTAAAATGGAGGTGCTTAGCAACTGTAAGTTCAAATAGTAACTAGAAGGAGAAGTGGTTAATGAATTATTATTATTATTATTATTATTATTATTATTATTATTATTATTACTATTATTGTGCTGTTGAAGGCTTTCATGGCCAGAATCACTGGGTTGCTATGAATTTTCCAGGCTGTCTGGTCATGTTCCGGGAGCATTCCCTCCTGATGTTTTGCCCACATCTATGGCAGGCATCCTCAGAGGTTGTGAGGTCTGTTGGAAACTAGGCACGTGGGGTTTATATATCTGTGTAATGTCTAGGGTGGGAAAAGAACTCTTGTTTCTTTAAGGCAAGTGCGAATGTTGCAATTGGCCACCTTCATTAGCACTGAATGGCCTTGCAGCTTCAAAGCTTCACTTGCCTAGTTTCCAACAGACCTCCTAACCTCTGAGAATGCCTGCCATAGATGTGTGTTGTGCAGAGCACCTGATGAACCAACCTGGATACAGCATATTATTCGAGAACACAGAAATACTGGACCACTCTCACAACCACCATGTCAGACTACACAGAGAAGCCATTGAAATACACAAGCATGTGGACAATTTCAACAGAAAGGAGGAAACCATGAAAATCAACAAAATCTGGCTACCAGTATTAAAAAAAACTCTAAAATTAGAACAACACAACAACAGAGAGGAAACAAGCAAATACATCTAATCACCTCTCAACAAAAGTTTGCTCTAGGCAATGTCAGGCCATTATATGCTAATCAAGGTGGTCAGTTGAAACATTCACACCTAGATCCAGCAGACAAGAGCCCTTTGTCCCATCCTGGTCATTCCACAGATATATAAACCCTTTTCCTAGTTCCAACAGACCTCACTACCTCTGAGGATGCTTGCCATAGATGCAGGCGAAACGTCAGGAGAGAATGCCTCTAGAACATGGCCATACAGCCTGAAAAAACCTACAACAACCCAGTGATTCTGGCCATGAAAGCCTTCGACAATACAATAGTTATTATATTAAGCATGATTGCTCTCCAGCCCTAAGACCCTTGCTTCCAGAAATAACCCTCACAGCTGCTTTGCTCCGACTCCTTGGAATACATAAGCCCTTTATTCACAAACACCCCATCACTAAAATAAACTGTATGAAAAATAACATCAGAAAGCTAAGCTACGCAGAAGAAATCAAACCCTGTCTCTCTGTTTACATGTTCCTTCTTCAAAGCGCATGGTCAACCATCTGCATTTTCTTTCCGGTGATGGCATTTTTTAAAAGCACATAAATGTTCATGGGAAATGGTCTGCAAAATATGATGTGCTCTCAAGATAATACAGTATCAATGCAAAAAAAAAAAAAAGTCAAATCCCAGAAAGATTCTAAATTAATCTGAGCCCCATTTTTTTTCAGACAAGTAAGATCTAAATGCAATCAATCATTCAATTTATCATCTTGAGCAGAGTGAGCAAAGTGTGGCTCAAGGGCCACAGAAGACCTATCCAGCTCCAAGCCCCAGCAAAATATGTTGGAGGTCAATTTGAGGTTATTGTTTTGTTTTGAAACAGTCCCTAATAGTGGGTTGTTGTAGGCTACCAATATTAAAAAAAACTCTAAAACTACAACAGCAAAACAACAGAGAGTAAACAATCAGGCACATCTAATCACCTCTCAACAAAAGATTCCCCCAGGCACTGCCAAGCCATTAAGGTGGTCAGTTGAAAGATTCACACCTAGCTCCAGCAGACAAGAGTCCTTTGTCCCACCCTGGTCATTCCACAGATATAAAAACCCTTTTTTCCTAGTTCCAACAGACCTCACTACCTCTGAGGATGCTTGCCATAGATGCAGGCGAAACGTCAGGAGAAAGTGCCTCTAGAACATGGCATATAGCCCGGAAAAACCTACAACAACCCAGAGATTCTAGCCATGAAAGCCTTCGACAATACATAGTCCCTAATAGTCTAAGGATGCAGTGGTTTTCTTCCTTCAAACGGCAAAGTTCCAAATACATCAAAAAGGAGGAGAAATTGGTCCAAATTTGTCCAAAATGGGAGCCAGACGTGACATCATATCACTTTGGGTGTTCTGAAACTTATTGCTGTGGCTACTGGATGATTGCTAGGAGATAAAATGCCCATCTTTGGTGACACTGATTAGGACTCTTATGGAAACAGGCTTGGAGTCTTACCTCTCTTTTCCGTAGTGATGACCGTAGCTTCCAAGGGCTCCCCCCAGCCTTGACGCGTCTTGGCAGAGGCTCGGAAGATGTACGCTGATTCTGGGAGGAGATCTGTAGCCACAAACTGCCGGACTGTGGAGCCAACCTCCACCGTGGTGAACTTGTTTGGGTTGCTGGTTGCCAAGCGGTATGCAATTTGATATCCTAGATGCATAATGACAAACACACACACACAAAAAACAGAAAGTTGGTTGTGTTGTTTCCACTGTTTTAGTGCAGGAAAAGCGCCAGGACTATTAGTGCATCCTAATTACTTATTTATTTGAAAGGCAAAACAATGCAATTTGCTTCTTTTTAGGGGTTACCAGCTGAGCTTTATAACATCTCTCCCATCCTCCAGGATTGATGCAGTACATTATCTGGGAAATTACGGACTATGTGATGAATGGAAAGGGCCTTCTGAGTGATAATCCACCGTGAAATTTGTTTCACATTTCGTTCTTTAAAAGAGCGAGATATACAAGCAGTTTCATCTTCTGGGAGAATATCGATGGGCTGTGAAAATGTGACAGATACCAAAGACAAGTATACACAGCTGAAACTGATTTTGACAAGGCAAGGCCAGCCTGGAATGTATCTGTCCAATGCTTTTCCTTACAAATAAATGCTTAGGGCAGTGCGACCGAGCAGAGGCTCCAGACGTCCATTCCAACAACAACATTCAGTTTTATTTTGGGACTCAAGATCTAGGCATGACACGGAAGATGGAAAATGTATCAGAAACACAGATGTGATACCCCCATTCCTCTACCCTACCTTTTGGTGCCACTAACCTTGCAATTAGGGGCAGGCTCATGGCATTTTAGCGGGGTGAGTGGAAGAACAGTTAGCCTAGAGCAGTGTTTCTCAACCTTCCTAATGCCACGGCCCCTTAATACAATTCCCCATTTTGTGGTGACCCCCAACCATAACATTATTTTCATTGCTACTTCATAACTGTAATTATGTAATTATCGTTGGAACACCTCAGCAAGGGAGAGTCCAAAAGTGGCAGGCTCAAATCCAGCACCTCAATCCGTGGGTGATACCAGATGAGACTCTCTCCTGGGCACACAGAAGACTGGGAGACTTGGAAGGCGCTGAACAGACTGAGTTCTGGCACCATGAGATGCAGAGCCAAGCTCAAGAAATGGGGCTACAAAGTGGAATCCACGACATGCGAGTGTGGAGAAGAGCAAACCACTGACCACCTGCTGCAATGCAACCTGAGCCCTGCCACATGCACAAGGGAGGACCTTCTTGCGGCAACATCAGAGGCACTCCAAGTGGCCAGATACTGGCCAAAGGACATTTAATCAACTACCAAGTTTGCAAAATTTGTGGGTTTTTTTAATCTGTTTGTTTGTTTTGTTCTGTTAGAAATGTAATACAATGGTCTGGTTGCTGATGACACGATAAATAAATAACTGTCATTTTGCTACTGTTAGGAATCGTAATGTAAGTATCTGACATGCAGGATGTATTTTCATTCACTAGACCAAATTTGGCAAAAATACCCCATACATCCAAATTTAAATACTGGTGGGGCTGGGGGAGGATTGATTTTGTCATTTGGGAGTTGTAGTTACTGGGATTTATAGTTCATCTACAATCAAAGAGCATTCTGAATGCCACCAATGATGGGATGGAACCAAGCTTGGCACACAGAAGTCCCATGACCAACAGAAAATACTGGAAGGATTTGGTGGGCATTGACCTTGAATTTTGGAGTTGTCGCTCACCTACATCCAGAGAGCACTGTAGACTCGAACAATGATGGATCTGGACCAAACTTGGCACACATCCTCAATGTGCCCAAATGTGAGCACTAATGCTGCAATCCCTTAATACAGTTCCTCATGTTGTGGTGACCCCCAACCATAACATTATTTTTGCTGCTACTTCATAACTTTACTACTGTTATGATTTGTCATGTAAATACCTGATATACAGGATGAAATTTCACACAAATACTCAATATGCTCAAAATACTGGAAGGGCTTGGTGGGCACTGACCTTGAGTTTTGGAGTTGTAGTTCACCTACATCCAGAGAGCACTGTGGACTCAAACAATGAGGGATCTGGACCAATATGCCCAAATGTGAACACAGGTGGAATTTGGGAAAAATAGACATTGCCATTTGGGAGTTGTTGATGCTGGGATTTATAGTTCACCTACAATCAAAAAACACTCCGAACCTCACCAACGATGGAATTGGGTCAAACTTCCCACACAGAATCCCCATGACCAAAAGAAAATATAGTGTTTTCTGATGGTCTTTGGAAACCCTTCTGACATTCCCCTTGTGACCCCCCAGGGGTCTCGACCCCCAGGTTTTGAAACACTGGCCTAGAGGCAAGGACAACCAGAAAATAGTGGATAGAATCTGAACCCCAAATGGTTTCAGTTTGTAGCATTAGAGGACTATATGCTTCTATGGCACCACCTCTCCACATGCTCTGTCACATATAGAGGAAGTCATTCCTAGAAGAGTAGTCAAAAAAGCAAGAGTAGGCAATTTGTCATCTAGGACCACACGCCAACTATTCAAAAAAGCAAGAGTAGATATATATGATTTGGACAGAAAGGTGATGTTGAAGTTAGCATGAAAGTAGACTGCAGGTCTACATATGATTGCTACTGCAATATCATACAGGGGACCATCATCTTCCAGTGAATGTAAGAACTGCTCCATTAAATAACAGTACTTGTCCTCCTTACTCAATACTCTGTTTTTCACAGTGGCCATCTGCCAAATGCTTCTGAGAAGCTTCTAAGCAGGATTTGAACAACAATAACATTTTGCACAAAAATACAAGACTGCCTATGCAAAGTCTCTCACTCATGTTTGCACAAAACACATCAGAAACAACAAAAACATGGGTCCTTTCCCTTCTGCAGGTGGAGTGTCTTAACATGCTGAGGCCTACATTTTCAATAATGGATGAGAACATTTGCTTCCTAAATTAGGATAGCTTTTGCAAACTGGCTACATCAGATAGTCTAAGACTACAAACTGGGATAGGAGAAGGTAGCTGGAGTCACGGACAGGTGAGGAATAACCTCCATCATCAGGCAATTTGCAGAAATTTTGAGTTGGCTCCTTACCTACCACCCAACGACATCAATCAATGCATCCCAGGCAATTTGTCCTCTAGGACCACACGCCAACTATTCAAACTTATTCTACCCACTCTTGCCAATACACCAGACTTGCTTTCTTCTGCAGCCGACTACAAACCCAGTCCAGCTGCTCTGATCCAAAATCAATTTCGGTCAGGGATGGCAGGGATGGCTTTGCTTGCAGCAAAACTGTTACATGCTCCATCAAGTTTCCATGGTGGGAAGCATGGAGGAGGAAGGCCAAATAAAGTCAAAGCAGAAGCAGCTGAACTCAACAGCAATGGACATCTGCTCGCCCTCTGACCGTCTTTTGAACTCTAAAGAGTTCTGCAGAATTCGGAGACTATTCCGGTGCCAAGCATCCTATTAATATGCCTGCAGCAGCTTGGACATTCACCAGATTCCAACAAAAGAAAGGGGAAGGCACGAGCAAAGGGGCAAAATCAATGGGTAATGAGCAACACACGGAGGCTTGTACCAGGGATGATATCAGACTGGATAGACAACATTCATCTCTTGCTGAGAGGTGGCAATAAAAAGAGGATTCGGAACATTCTTTGTCAAGCCAACTCTGTGCGTGCCATGAATCCACTTGCAGACTTTGGAGTTTAATTGGTATACAGATGGTGGTAATTGCGTGCAGTGGGGCTAGTGATGCTTTTGCAGATAACCTGTCCTCTCCCTATATGTCACTGTCTTTTTCCTCACTCGGGGGAAACAGGATGGTTTGTGGCAGCTGAATGGGAAAGTGGCTGCTCTTTTTGTTTCCCGCGTTGATGTGTCATTATGAGTCACGTCTCGTCTCCTTTGCCATTTCCGAGGTGCCAGAGGAGAGGCCCATGTTTCATCGGCACTCAAATTACAGCCGACAAGATTTGAGAGGGAGCCCAGTTGTTGAGGCCTGCCTTGGAACCGGGATGTACACAGACAAGAGATTCGAAGGGCCATATAGATATTTGCAAACTTGGCTCCACAAAACTCAGCATCGAAATGTGCTGCTTTGCCAGAGCACCTGAACCACAAGCGGGAGCCAGAAAGAGTTACGAGAGCAGAGCTTTCCGACGGCTGCTTTGGGTCCCACTCCCAAACGCTCCTCCTAATCAGAGCAGATCCACTGAGAGGAGATATGATAGCCATGTATAAATATGTGAGAGGAAGCCACAGGGAGGAGGGAGCAAGCTTGTTTTCTGCTTCCTTGGAGACTAGGACGCGGAACAATGGCTTCAAACTACAAGAGAGGAGATTCTGAACATTAGGAAGAACTTCCTGACTGTGAGAGCCGTTCAGCAGTGGAACTCTCTGCCTCGGAGTGTGGTGGAGGCTCCTTCTTTGGAAGCTTTTAAACAGAGGCTGGATGGCCATTTGTCAGGGGTGATTTGAATGCAATATTCCTGCTTCTTGGCAGAATGGGGTTGGACTGGATGGCCCATGAGGTCTCTTCCAACTCTTTGATTCTATGATTCTATGAATCAGGAGCAGAATCAGGATAGCTTGCATTGAACCATTGAATCCCACTGATTCAGTGGTTCAATGCAAGCAATCAGATTTTGATTTCAGAAATTAATCTTCAAATAATAATAATAATAATAATAATAATAATAATAATAATCTATGTAAATAAAAATGTAATGTTCGTTTGTAGGATTAACAGAACTCAAAAACCCCTGGACAAATTGGCACCAAATTTGGCAGCAAAAGACATTCTAATCCAATCTATGTCTTCCAAACAAAAAAAAAATTAAAAAGGAAGGGGAAATAACTTTAATATCCCCCCCAAAAAAGTACCTAACCAAGCATGCGCAAAAGGCCCTCTCCCCAGCGCGCGCGAGAAGACTGAGGCACCAACCAAAGGAAGTCAACAACTCTTGTGTTGCATGAGCGGTGTGCGGACGCGCATTGTCATGGAGACAGGCTCCCGCTGTCAGCACCCCACAACATTTGTTTTGGATAGGTCTGTGAAGTTTCTTTATGGTCTCACAATATATTCCGTATGCATTTTGTCACATGCTATCCTGACATTATGTCCTCTTCATAAACTGAA